AAAAAAAAAAAAAAAATGAGTGAAAATACTAAGATTTGTGTTCTGTGGTTTGAAACCAGCTGGGAGACAAAGAGACAAAAAGAAGCTTCAAATATTTTTGAGGAACAATGTTTATCCCCAAAAGAAAACATCCATTAGGAGTTTTAAGTTCCAGTACATTTATCTATAAATCACTCATTACTTCATAGTTAAATAGCATGTGGGAGGTTTTAGTTTTTTATATGGTCTTTGCTTTTCAAGTTGGTAATATATCAATACTTTGAATGGTTTTGAAGAAATTCATTGCCCAGTCAGCCTCAATATAGTACCAAGAATCTCATGATAGAACCTCATGATAGAATCTCATCCATCAGTCCAAAAATCAGAGGGCTCAGGACTGTCTCAGGAGAAGCAGACCATAACAATGGATTGGGCACATTTTTGCCTGCTTTAAAATTTTTTTTTACTATCTACAACAGATTTTTGTCAAATTAGGTGCCTCCTTAAATGAATGTAACAATTTGAGAAACACTTCATCACTTATAAAACTTACAAATACTATTTTATTTAGTTTCCATGGGTGCTTTAGGGGTTTTACAGGCTTGAAAGTCCTGGGAGAGATTGTGTCAATGCTTCTAAGAAAATAGACCTGAAGTAAGGGAGATGTTCAGGGGCGCCTTGGTGTCTCGGTCGATTAAGTATCTGACTTTGGCTCACATCATGATCTTATGGTTCGTGGGTTTGAGCCCCGCATTGGGCTCCGTGCTGACAGCTCAGAGCCAGGAGCCTGCTTTGGATTCTGTGTCTCCCTTGCTCTCTGCCCCTCTCCTGCTCATGTTCGTCTCTCTCTTTCTCAAAAATAAATAAGCGTTTAAAGAGAGAGAGAGAGAGACAGAGGGGTGTTCATAGCAATGTCTTTGCTAACCAGACCAGTAGATCACATAATGAATTTGTGACACTGCTCTCTATTGATTGGCTCTTAGCATTGACTTTCTCTCCCCTTTTCTCCAGCAGAATAACCAAGTTCACTGCCATTGATTCATTCTTCCCAAGTAATCTGCAGTAAAGAGATGCTAGATTCAGGGAAAATCAGAGGTGAAACCTCTGGCTTTAATTGACCTTTTAATATTCCATCTAAGACATTGAATTACTGATGTGGTTCCTTTGAATCAACATTCCTCAGCTTCACATTTTGGCAGTAAAAGTGCAGAACTTCAGTGGAAATATGTGGTATGCTGACATCTTCCAGGGTCCGCCTCGCTGTGGTTATTGCTGTTCCAGAACCTTGATAATGCACCCACAGCTCAACAGTGGGCAGCCAGAAAGGCAGGGCCGCTGAGCTATTTGTCAGTCCTTTCTGCAGACCACGTATTTTCTCATTAAGTGTACTTTACTAGAGGGAAATAGACTAGGATTTCTGGTGATGGTTCCTGAGGAAGCGTGCTTCCTGGGGAATAATTTTAAAAGATGAAGAGAAATTATATAACCATTTAGTGGGCCCTACACAGACCAGATTTCCTTCTCAGTGGCTGGGTACAGGCCTGTTGTCTGGGGCATACATTTGCTTGTGATATAACATCATGGGGAGTTCCAGCTAGATGTTTTATGGGAAGACAGAAGTTTAAGAAACCCTTAAAGTCAGAACACATTCAAGAGAGTTCTTGTTTTCTTTTTTCTTTGAATCTTGATTTTTTTTAATTTTATTTTTTATTTTTTAAAATTTACATCCAAATTAGTTAGCATATAGTGCAACAATGATTTCAGGAGTGGATTCCTTAGCGCCCCTTACCCATTGAGCGCATCCCCCCCTCCTACAACCCCTCCTGTAACCCTCAGTTTGTTCTCCACATTTATGAGTCTCTTCTGTTTTGTCTCCCTCCCTGTTTTTATATTATTTTTGTTTCCCTTCCCTTATGTTCATCTGTTTTGTCTCTTAAAGTCCTCATATGAGTGAAGTCATATGATTTTTGTCTTTCTCTGACTGACTAATTTCACTTAGCATAATACCCTCCAGTTCCATCCACGTAGTTGCAAATGGCAAGATTTCATTCTTTTTGATTGCCGAGTAATACTCCACTGTGTGTGTATATATATATATATATATATATACACCACATTTTCTTTATCCATTCATCCATCGATGGACATTTGGGCTCTTTCCATACTTTGGCTATTGTCGATAGTGCTGCTATAAACATCGGGGTGCATGTGTCCCTTCAAAATAGCACACCTGTATTCCATGGATAAATGCCTAGTAGTGCAATTGCTGGGTCGTAGGGTAGTTCTATTTTTAGTTTTTTGAGGAACCTCCATACTGTTTTCCAGAGTGGCTGCACCAGTTTGCATTCCCAAGAGAGTTCTTGTTTTCTTAATGGAAAGAGACATTTAAGGATTATTTCTAGTATAATAGTGATGATGACTGATTTATCTGAATTAAATATTGGTGATTATGAAACTTCTCTGAGAAAAGTTCCATGAGAAATTGCCAAGGACTTAATGGTTAATTGCCAAGGTCTTAACCAGTGAGGCTAATTGTAACTGCAGGAGTTACTGTCAAAGAGAAAGCGTAAGCCTAGGTCAACACCCGTGCTTAGAAATAAGATGTTTGCCTTGAGTGTTGTGTAATTCAAAAACGAGGAATCAGAATTTTCTTTCTATAAAAAATGTCTTCGTGCTGCACTCAGCCTACTTTTCCTCATGCTTCCTCAGGCTTTTCTCATGTTATTTCCCAACATGCCCCTTCCACTTTCATACGATTCCCAAGTACACCTTCCTTGCCTGTCTCTACTTTGAGTTTTTTTTTTTTTTTT